GCATGGCGACGTAGTCATGCAGAAGCCGCCAGGTTTTTTTTTTGCAAAGACCTATCTGCCGCAATGAAGTTAGAACGCTTTGTCTGCAGTTCGGTTGTGCGCAGTGTATCTCACAAGACTTCAAATTTCACTGCTTTGAACTCCTCATCAATTCAAATCTTACTAAACTGTCAAAAATAGAAGGATTTTGAACTTCTGAGCGGTTTTCCGCTCGATCGAGGTGGTTAGAGTGGATCATGATCAGACGGAGTGCACCATTCATTTTTAGAAAAAAGGCGTCCAAAGCGGAACCAGAGTCCTCAGTGTTGCGATGACGTACAGGCTATGCACACGAGTCTGTCGTTATACAAGCGACGTGCTGAGCACGCGACAGAGCTTTTTGGGCATTAGAACTCAATTTCTGCGGTTCGAAAACTCGTCTACCTGGAGGTGAGGTTGAGGCTCGTTTATCAATATCAGCGACTACGCAATGTTAATGCAAGCGCTTTTCGCCGTATTCATTGCAAAGGCTCGGCAAAGTATAGGGATTTCATTCAAGTGAAACAAGTGCTTCAAAATTCAGTGAAAAAGCAGTTTTTTGCAAATGATGTGACCTATTATGCATTTTAGAGCAAAAAATGCAGTACGAATCTTCTTTTTGAAAGGCGACCCCTTCCAAGTGTAACAAATGTTTTATGTTTTGATGTTCTATATGTACAAAAGATTTGAGGTTCAAAAAACGCAGTGATTGAAAATGAGAGGTGGCTTTATAGCTGTGACCAGCCTTCGAAACCCGTTTTTTCAAATTTTCAATTTTTCTCCGGCTAAAACCCATGAAATCAGGAGTCGTTCTAGTACTCTGCGTTGATACCACTGCTTTGGTTTTTCAAACAAATATGAACAAGAGAGAGCAAATTACGGTGGATTTTTAGGGTGGCTTTATAGCTATGGCCAGCACTGTATATACAGGTGTCCCAAAAAAATGTTTCGAACGTTTGATCGTTAATATCTCTCTTCCCAGGAAGTCTTTTGCCTTGCTTCAGGTACCATTTTGTAGAGCTGGCTTCAACTTAGATTTCCATTATAGAACGAATCACCCATCTCTCTTCATTACTGTAGGATTACGGTTAGGAAACTTGAAACATATGGTGTCAATGTGAAAAAAGCTGCCGTTTCCAAAATTTTTCAAAAAATTGTGAAAACTTGTGTAAGTACTCTGCGTTGATACCACTGCTT